GAACATCGAACAAGATAGACAAATGCAGCGAATGAAGAAATCTAGTTAGTATTAACCCTGTGTGTGTGTGCGTGTTTCATTGTGTACAGTGTCTGTGATGCACGTGATTGGTTACAGCCAGGGAAGACCAAGGGTAAAGATCATACGCTTTTGGAAGCACAGTGTGGGTTTGTTGTGAGCGATCGATAATGCCTCAAGTATCTTTAGTCGGTGTTTGTATCGATGACGTAACAAAACCGAGAACGCGTTCGTGAGGTCTACCCTATGGCCACTTTCAACCAGGTGACGTGCGATGGCCGAAGTCGGTCTGCGTGATGCGGTCAGAGTGTGTGGGGTGGGCTGAATCATAGAGTCACGCACATACTTGGGGATGTGTTCAGCCATTCTAGTTCGCAGTGGTCGGTCGGTTCTACCGATGTATGCTTCGTTGCAGCTGCAATAGAAAGCGCAAATGCAATGAGAGGTAGACTCAACTGGACGACGATCTTTGAATGGGGGGAGGGGGAGGCACCGTGTGATCGGATGGAGTCTTAATGTAGCACCGTAGTATGTTCTTTGTAACGCGTTCTGCCTCATTGACTTTATGGGTCCCTTATTATCTTCCCTGATCTTTTGAACAAGGACCTCAAACTCATTTCCCGATCCCTCAGATTTCTCTCCATTTGTAGTCTCATACCACGGGAACATCTAGTAGAGTTTGTGGTGACACATCACTTCAAGTCCTGTAAAACATTCTCTAATAAGTTTTTATCTGATATCTCCCATCCTCTTTATTCCTCTCTTAGCGACTGCCTTTCTCACTCATCCACCCGTTCCACTCACAAACTCATAAAGACTCGCACTGAAGCTTACCGGTGGTCTGTTGTTCCTTATCTCGTCAGATTTCTAAACCAAGACCTCGTTACGGGAAATCTGCGTCAAACACTACGCTAAATCCCTCATGAACACCCAGGTGTACCACTCATTTTGGATGTTGCTGTCCCTTTTCACATCCTTTCAACTGCGGTACCATACTATTGTGTTTTACGTATTTTTTGACACACTATGGTTATGTGGTTGCTGAATATCCACCTCTCGGGGTGTATAAAGTCATTACTTGACTTGACTTGACCTGACTTGTGATAAGCTGCATTATTGACTCCCCTTTGTATGGCAGCGAGATGTGGATATTNGGGAAGACCGCAATCCAATGGGGACCGATGTCCAATTCATTGGATCATACGCCCTTTGGATAGGGTCAAACGTCCAAGGTGCCCAATACGCCTCGATATCCGAAAGGCGATCAGCAAACAACCCAAGACACCCACTCTCTACCATGCCAAGGCTTTCGGAGGCAAATACCGCAGTGGATTTCACTCACGTAGAATTTCCTAGAGTATAAGATCCGATGAATCGCTTGATGCTGTTATAGAAGCGTCACGGTAACACCATGTGTGGTGTCGTGCTTGATGGGACCAGATTATTTGTCGGACAATAAATCATGTTAGTTCGTGTTCCTGATTAACTTTTGGGTGCAACCAACGTTACCCGCAGGATTTACGAGGTTCCATATTTGATCCTTGACCTTTTTCATGCTCATAAACGATCAACCAATACAATACTGTTTGCAGACTGTGCCCAAATCTAGAGCACAGTAACAACTTGAGGGCTCACAAATACTTCGAGAACCATTTACCACAGCTCATCAGTGGTCTATTGAGAAGGAAGCTGAATTTAATGTTTCGGTATGAAATGTCCTGTCCTTACAAAACAAGGGTAAATTCCGTTTATTATCCACAAATCAACTACAGCTACGTGCGTGAAGTAGAACCGACCCGGGTATTGTTGTTCAAGACTTTCAGAGATTGTGTAATTGCGCCAGGGCTTCATCCGGAGCCGTTCAGAATTCGGTTTGCTTGGACCCGTCTTTGATCCGTTTAAATCAGCTCCGTTCCCACGTTTGTTATCAGTAAACATTCGACCTTACATGGAAAACGCCACATAAGGATAGAATCTATGGTGACAACGTGACAAACGATTATCAGCAAAATAGTCACAGGGATCGAATTGTCTCACTTATGGAGAGAGATTACAATCATTGGGATAATATTCCACTCAGTACCGGGGAATCCAAGGAGAACTGATTTTCGGAATCCAGTACCAAAGAACGCAAACCATCCATGTCGGCCGCATCTCACGTTGTCACCCAGCATCCACCTCAGGAGACATCAGTTCATGTTTCGAAAATGTCTACTGGATTGCCGGCGTAAATCTTTTCCCGTCAGAAGGTGTATCACTTGGAACAGTCTCCCATCTCACCAATTGTTGAATCCTTCAAGAGGAGACTTGATAAAAAGTGGATTATCTCACATCCCAACACTACTGAAAAAGGAAAGCAAGTGGAGAATAAAATATGTTATCTCTCCACCCGGAATAATATATGAAAAAACCCTTATTTTGACGGGAAACGATTCAATCGTGCAATCTTATGACAAAAGATACATCAACTTGTAAGAAATTCCCACAATAAACTTTGACTGTAAACTGAATGCGGAACAGAGAACCTTGTGACAGGCACTGCTTGGGATCTACCGTTTCTGAGTCAATGCTAAACTGCGTGCGGATGATTTGATTATCGGAACGAACTTGCGCGCACAATATAATTGATACAAACTGCGTTTCAGGATGGGCTATCGATCAGTCTCAGATGATCGCGTACATGAAGCGGCTGCAATCGACGCAAAACCTTCTGTGGGTAGAGCTATAAAAGCCTGGATAGGACATTCCCAAACCAATCAAAAGTTGTAGCAATAACAACCAGACTCAACATGCTTTCAACTCGCACGAACTATCCACCCGAATGTGAGCAGGTTGTGAATCAAACAATCCAACTTTTGCAATCTGCCTCTTTGACTTACGATGTTTTGGGTGCCACATGTGCGACTGAGGAGGTTAGCATGCCTGGATTCTGCAAATTCTATCGTCTGTGCAGCCTGCGTTCACGCAAAATGTCCGAATATTGGATTAACTGGCAAACCATGCGCGGTGGCAAGATGATGGTGTCCGAGATCAAGCCTATGATCGCCTGTAACGAGCTGTGTCAACAGGGGTTGGAAAAATTGGTCGAGACTGGGGTGGATATTGAGAAGCGTGTTGAGGAACAGTTCCGTCATTTACGTCAGGTGACCCAGTCGAAAGAGGATTGGGCTACTGTGGAATATGTGGATCGGAAATTCCTTATTCCACAAGTCGTTGTCATCAAAATGATGGTGAATCACGTGAACGGTTTGCGACTTTGCAAGAACCACTATGTGTACGATCGCAAATCGATGATTAAAGAAAGCAAAACAATTCGTCGTTGCATTCAGTTCCGTAAACAGGTGGAGAGCAATTGCAGCAGCACATGCAAACCGGAGAAAAATGTCTTCTCCACTTCCATTTGGTCTTTCACCTATCCAATTGTCTAAATCGTTTTGGGATATGATGCGATAAGAGCAAATAAACTTTCGGACTCTTTTACTGACTGTTTTCTCATCCAAAAGGGTAAACGTCACTATTGTACGTAAAACAAATGATGTTATAAGTTCGGCGGGGAAAGTTTTGTACGATTGAATTATCGCTTTAATTTGGTTATCAGGTCAGATAAATTCTCAACAAGATTCATTGAATACAGTGAAATGAAAACAAAGGGGCATAAAAAACCCCTTGATAAGAATTGAATGGATATCGAGGAACTGAAATCATTATAAATGGCAGTTTTTGGTAAGATTATCAGTGTTAAAGGGACAAGAAGGTCTGATATAGTGTTATTCCAATGTTTCAAGAGGAGAAAGTCCAATTGAACGTTCGACTTTGTTGGAACCCTTTTTTGTGCACCTCAGTGATGACTTTATGTGGTAAAATGATTCAGGCAGGTGACCGATTCCGAACCTAGTTTATCATTTTAGATGAATATTGAAAGTGTTACTTGACAATAATCAATTTAAGATATCCATAGCGGGATGTGTACACTCATCGAAAACAAAAGCAGTTCTAATGTATGCTGCATGAGTGTCTCTGTATAAATGTGGTAAAACAACCGATCAAACAATGGTGAGGTTACAACAAAGTGGATTATTGTTGGATGGTGTAACGATCAATACATGTGAATTGTTGTCATAGATAAGGGTGCTTATCCGGTACAGAATAGATTTACGTGTCTCTGTAATTCAACTGTGGAAAGCAGTGGTTAGAAATAGTTCTATAGCGGCCAGCCAACGTATACGGCATAAAGATATATAACGCTCCACCAGCGGTAGTTTTGGAAGCGAGCCAATTAATTGTCAGATGCGATGGTTAATATGCCTCAGTTTCGTCGCAGTGTTTAGAGCAAGTGAAACATGAACTGGAAAGCTAGGAGGCACCGGAAAACTGTTTCAAACTGGTTGGGGCATCAGGTTGTGAAAGTTTCCAACCGAGTCGTAACCCCAGAGGCTGGTACTGAGATGAGTGATCCCCGAGGTCCGCAACAAATTCGCAAAGATGGACTGTGCTATATCATGTAGATTGAAAATGAAAAGCTGTCTGATCAGCTGCCCCGTGGCCCAATGGGTAGGGTGATTGCGTTCTGCCTGTGACGTCCCGGGTTTGTTCCCCAGTTGGATCGATGGGTTCACACTGCTGATGACACCAAATCAAATAAAAACAGCTGTACGGTGCTTTTTGCCTGTCGTTTACATTTTTTCAAAAAAAATTTCAAACGTCAAGAAAAAACTGGTTTTGGCTTGAATCGTTCTAATAATAATATCTCGCTCGTAGTTTTCTTCTAAAGGTAGGAGAAAGCATAGAACGATGACAGCTGGTTCACAGTTTGGTAATATGTGAGAAATAGAAGAAAGACTGAACGTTGGGAGTAAAACAACTGGAAGAGGGTGGGATTTAAAAGATGAATAGTGTTTTCTTTATTGCACACTTCCGTGTGTTGAACAGCAGACGGGGTAAACCCCTTAGTCACAGGAACCTTCTACTTATTGATGGAAACCGGCAATCTAGACCCCGTGACTTGGAGTGGCGAACCACCAAAGGTCCCGCTAGGTTAGGCGTGGTATTAAATCGGACGACAGCAGAGCTGCCTACTACCAAAGTCGGGTGGCGGTGGCAGGGCTCGAACCTCGGACCATAGGGTCCAAAGCACGCCGGCGACAGCGACTAAAGCACTGCGCCAACACCACCTATATGGGGTTTGTATACGAATTCCAAATTTGGCATTGCAATCTCTTAGACAATTTACCAAACGAATCCGAAATACCTCGACTCTCCCAGTAACTGACTGATCAAATCAACCGTTTAGGGATCAAATGCAACAAACTATGGTGTTCAGAACTGAAAGTATCACTCAGGTATACGTATCTCGCAAGATTTCATATTGTCCAGCTTTCGTATATCTGTTATCTACTCAGTGGGATACCGGACCTGAATGCTTGGATAACACCAAAAGCTCGTCTCTGTCCATAAAGTGACTTCACCAGTCAAGTTTACCAGTGCACCGGAAATCAGGATTGTGAGCAAAACACTCGGCCATCTTGATATTTTGACGCAACAAACACGTGGTGTTATCCACTTGGATGAGTCTGGACCTCTTTCACCCTTTCACAGTGGTGGAAAGAATGATCATCCTACTGAGAAACTCGAAACGTTATTTTCCGTTCATCAGATTAGCATCTCGGACAATCATCGAATCACATTCAAAGGCTCGAAAGCTGAAGCAATGCTTCTCCTTTTGCACATCATGCCAAAGTAAGTTAATCCGACAAAATATCACTGTTTATTTCATTCTGTCAAAAGTCGTTCCATCGATTATTCATTCTGAAGAACCTTTACATTGCACACTACAACCACTGTTCTATATCCCCATATAACCTATGATTTCATCATCCCATGAGTGTTCCATACGCGGCTTATGCCCACGCACCCAACATTAGCTTGTTCAAGCTCCACTACACTGCCCTTTTTGTCATTCTTGTCCATCTCATCTATCCGTGCACACGATTGAATACCCTGACACCTGTATACACACACACACACACACACACACACACACACTTACACACTCGCACATACATACAGGGGCTCACTTTTGTTGCACGGTGTTCCCCAAGTTCCCATTTGTCGCATTTCGCCTGGCTCGTCCCGGGTCACTTCCCACGGTTGATGCATCACCGATGCATGCGTTCTTGTTTGGCATCATTTGGTTTATTCGCTCCATTCTTATTGCATCCCTCCCCGACCCCGTGCTTGATCACAGCCCCTACGTGTTGAAGAAATGGCTTCCCAGATCCAGGTGTTTGAACTGAATAGTGCCACAGTTTGAGATTTGTATATTTTTCAATACCGTAATATTTATTTCAACACCAATTTTAGAAGTAACCTGTTTGTCGACAGACACCATCTTTTGGGTATTTTACGCGACATTCTATGTCGATAGTTGTTGTCTGTGAGGTCGGCAGTCACTTAGCATTTTATCTTTAAGCTAAGTCAAGTATATGCATGAATCAATTCACTCGATTTGGGACATAGCGTTTCAGTTATTCAGGGCGCATCACTCATTTTTCTGTCCTCCACGTATTTACGCTTGAAGCATTTGCTGCAGACGATAAAAAACATACTTAGGTAAGTGGATCTCTGAAATTTGGACACATTTGCTTCTGGGTTGGATTGAACCTGCTGTGTTATGTTCTTCTCGTACTTCCCATTTATTCCTAAAATTATAATCACCTGAAAACTTCCAAATTTCTGGGTAACTCCCAATCATCTTGATTATACAGATTTTCCCGTTCTGACAGGTAAAACTGTTTCCTCATTGGAACTCAAATAAATGTCCATGGAGCAGTATTCCTTGCTTCCATAGATGAATGTTCAAAACTCATAAGTTATCTAATTGAACTTCTGTCATATACCAATTTAGTCATGATGGTTGCTCCGTGACATAAAAAACGCGGCTTGAAATATTGAATAGATGTGTTACTCATTCTACTCATCGGATAAGAGTGAGTATGTACCTTTCTTCATCGTTCAGCGTGTGCGCTACAACCACTTTGTATCCTTCGTCGCATCTCAACATGCTTCACATTGAAGAAAGCACAATGTTTATCACATGTCGAGCTGTCGCTGATGACGGAGTCTTGTAGTTTCGAAAGTTGTTTCTATGTAGTGGCCTTAAACTTGATTCCGTTATCTGATTTGAGACCCATATTGGAAGATGTTTTATCATCCGGTTACGTAATTATTTCTGTGTTCTGCCCACATGAGTCGCTCTGTGCCAAATATGGAATTTGTAGATCAGGCTGTGATTTTTCAACTTCAGGTGAATCCGTTGTAACTTGAAAGTGAATCCAGTCAATCGCATTATATTGGGAACCCAACAAGATGATTGGTGTTTCGGCCGTCAAACGTCACTGATTGGACCGGGTCTATCTAAGCCCCGTCTGGTCCGAATGAACGAACTTTTCCGTAAATAAACACAAGTCATTTGTCATCCGTGTCTTCTTTCGTTGCTGTCGGGCCAAATGAACTGACTGAATATGGCTGAAGACAACACCTAAACGAACATGAAATGACAATTTGGCTCAGCCAAAACACGAGATGGTTGGCTCAGTGGTAACTCACACGCCTTCCATGCGATGAGTCCGGAGTTCAAATCCCAGAGGGGACGGTGGATATGCACTACTGATGAGCTCCAATAAGATCGAAATCCGAGTGTAGTGTCTTTGAGTGTATGATTGAATCGGTAAATTGATGATTGTGCATGAAGGTGAAGTTCGAAGGATAATCAATTCAAATCAATCAATACAGAGGGAACCGAGAGTGCTCAGTGTGCAAAGAGCGATACAATTTCAAACAACAATTCTTACGCGGATTTTCGATGCCATTCCGATGCCTGGGTTTCGAACTCCACAGTCTGTTGAGGCACAAAACGGAATTGACTGACATAACCTGGCCGACAATCCTCTGCACTGTAGNGTCACCAAGCTCAGCTGCACACGGTGTGTGCGTGGAACACGCAGAAGTGGGGGGGGGGAGGAGAGGGCGGAAGAAAGAATCAAGGTGACTAACACAATGAATATGTTGCAAAAACGAACGTCGTGTGTGTAAAAAGAATAACGCACATGAGCGCGCGTATGCACACACACACACACACACACACACACACACAAGTATGCGTAACGTGACGTGATATTTGAGCATTCCAATCACATGATGCCTGTGAATAGCCCATCATCATTTGCACATGTGCTCGAGAGAAATCTGATTTGCAACTTGAACTGACTAGCACGACTGATAACCCCGCTGGTAGAATGTACTTTTACGCATGACTCGATGTGTAGCTGCTTACCGATTTATAGGTTGGTTTCAATTGGAAACGCAGCGTTCTGGGAACAATGTGCATAATTGGCAAACAGGGTAGACAACTGACCAGAAAGATAGAAGA